CCCCAAAACCCCAAAACCCCAAAACCCCAAAACCCCTCTTTGAGGTAATCTTATTGATTGTCTATCACATTAATATCCCATATCAATAACCTTATTTGCCTTCCAAAGTCCTCTTACCATTCTTGGTGTTGGCTTTACTGCGTTTTTACCTCCTCTACAGACTAGTTCTTGTAGTAAATATCCTTTTGGTCCATTTCCTTGGTGGCGGATTGGTACTTCAAAAATTTTCTTGTTCTTCATTGATCCAAGCTTTTCCTCAATTTTCTTCTGAATTTTCTTTGGAGGATATTTATCAACAGCAGTTCTTCCAGTAACAATGGCAGGGGCTCCTTGTTCATGTAATGAAAGTTCCTCAAGATCAACTCCGTAGTCTGTGAATCCAAATTCTTCACCATATTGTCTCTCGATATCCATAGCGAATCTTGCATAGGTCTCTCCTAGCTTCGGATACATAATTTTAAAGAAGAGTTCCTTCTGATAAATAATGGCAGCTGCTCTCTTATGTGTGATAGCATACTTCAGAGAGATATCTCTCAAGTTCATTCCCTTTTGATAATCTAGGTAAACTCTTTGCTTTGCCCAAGGAGACATTCTAGGCTGGACAATTTTACTATAATATGGGTCCATTTCATTTGTGATTTGCATATTCATTTCTGCATCATGTGCATAATCTCTAAAGAGGTCGTAAAGTAGCTTACACATTTAAGTTCTTTTGCTTTCTCTCCCATTGAGCGACAAAGCCTTCATTAGTTATGTTTCTTCTAGTCTCTTGTGCTGCTTTCTTAGCTATATCTCTTTCAGTTTCTTCCTCTTCCTTGCTGTTCTTAATGTTAAGTCTTTTCATAGCATCTCTGTAATTTTTGAAGTGGAGTCTTTCTTTAGCAGGCATATTTGGGTTGATCACGTCTTCTCTTTCAATGTAATTTTCTTCGTACTTCTTATGGTTAATATACTCGTTCTGAAGTCTGGTTCTTTTAAAATTTTCTCCGAGAGATTTCTGAAGGTTCCTTCCGTTCCTCATCCTTGCAATTAAGTTCTTGGTGTGCTCCATTGCTTGGGAGTCGCTCATGGTATCAACACTGAAGGTATCTTGTATTTTCTCCTGGAGGTTTGTTCTGATTTTCTTGAAATCATCATACATAATATCATCAGTTTTGATACTTCTTGGGGCTCTGTATTTTCTCAAAACACCGAGTTCCTCATCATCTGTGATGTAGTCATCATCGTGCTCGCCAAGGTTTTCCTGGGAGAAAAGTTCACCATGCTTAGGGAAAGAAAAGTTGTTGTGGATTCTATTGCTAAAGTCTCTTGAACAGAACACGATTAAATTTGTAGGACTAGTAGTACTTTTACCAGCTAATCCGGGAATTCTTCTAATTCAGAACATCATGGTCCAGATTTAATTTTATAAATTATATTGTTTTTAGGGGTTTTGGGGTTTTGGGGTTTTGGGGTTTTGGGG